TTTGTTCCTAATTTCAATAATCTACTGGGGGGGAAAACAACACACATTCCAGAAAATAACAATAAAAAGGAGGAAAATGAGTAACCCTCCTGGGTTGAACCTAGCACCGAGCTTAGCATAAGAAGATAGTTTGACATCGAGATCGCCTTCGATCTTTCGAGCTTCTTTCCTCAACTCCTCCCAACCCGATTCTTGTTGATTCAGGTTCATATCCATCATTTGGATCTCGGTAGTTCAACTTCAGATTCCTTGCTCTTCAATTCCAGCGATGAGTTCTTCTAAAAATGTGGATAAGGGAATCAAAATCAAAGATAGCATAAAAATGGCAGTGAAACAGATGGGTTTGGGGTTTGATAGTGAAGGAAATGGGTTTGGGTAAACGGCGGGATTGAAAAATGCGTGAAAGGGAAAAATTAAAAAAAAGGTTAAAGGGCGCGACACTTAAAATTTATAAATTTGCGGCGTTTGTGTTTACAAACGTCACTATAGTACAAGTGTATAGCGGCGTTTGAATAAAAACCCCACTAAAGTATGAGTGTATAGTGGCGTTTGTATAAAAACGCACTAAAGTACGAGTCTTTAGCGGCGTTTGTATAAAAACGCCACTAAAGTACGAGTTGTTAGCGGCGTTTGTAAACACAAACGCCACTATAATACAAGTGTATAACAGCATTTGTATAAAAACACCATTAAAGTACAAGTCTATAGCGGCGTTTGTATAAAAACGCCACTAAAATATGAATCTTTAATGGCGTTTGTATAAAAACGCCACTAAAGTACGACTCTTTTGCGGCATTTTGTTGAAAAAACGCCACTATCGATGAACTTATTGCGGCGCTTTTGTAAAAACGCTGCTAAAGTTACCATTTTGTGGCATTTGCTATATAAACGCCGCTATATGTTTAAAATTAGTGGCGTTTACACCCAAAACGCTGCTGTAGATTGGCATGAATTATGAGTTGGGCGCTTTAACCATTCAACCATGGATGCTTAGCGAGGATCCTCGTACATGGTGAATAACCAAATTCCAATTAAAATGAAATCTTTAATTTAATTATCTAATTATATAGATAATTTATATAGATAATAATTTAGAATATTATAGATAATAATCTAATATATTATAATATACAGAATATAGAAATAGATTGTTGGTAGTTTATAAGTTAGACTAACTAAATCAAATCTGTCACTAACAAAAATTTAGGACATGAATCACAATTATAATGCTGCCCAACCCTTCACAATTTTTGGACAAATTTCAAAATTTAGATAATTAACAAAACTTTAAGATAAGATTATCTTATTTTTAGGTCTGATTTATTGTTATTCCTTTCAACAATTTCATCTCTAATATTAGGATATATATTCTTTTACTAAGATAAGGATGGGCATTTAACTCGAACCTGATGGGTTCTGATTTTTGTCGGATTGAATTTCTTTTAATAAAAAATTTGGGCCATTTTTTAAGATGAGATCATATTGAGTTGAGTTTATGTTAATGGAGAAAAAATACCTAAGTTGGCCTATGAATAATAATATAATTGGCATTTATGTATTTAGAGATAATTGTTATAATCTACCTCTACCCCTAAATTTTATTTAGGTTGTATAATTTTATGTATCGTCACTTAATTAGATGATATGTCAATATGAACTTTTAAAATTAAATTTATTTTTGATAATATGTTATTATTTGATTTATTGATGGTACATAAAATTATATTAGTACATTAAATATTTATTTTCATATTAATTTATAATACAATCATCTGATTTTAAAATTAAAATCGAATAATTTTAATAAATTATAAAAAAATATAAAAAAATTAAGATATTAAAAACATGAAATGACATGAACATAACATAGACGTTTGTGTCAAAATTTAATTAATAATACTAAATAAATTTGTAACGCATAAAAAACAATATGAACACAATACAATCATATACTTTTTTCTTAATTCAAACACTGTAACAAATTGCACAAAATATAACATGAATTAAGTCACGATTATAAACACAAAACGAACACATGATATGGTTCAATAAATTAAATCATAATGTATACCAAAAATAACATAAGATAACACATATTTGAAGAGGTTAAAATCTACATAAAATGAATTATTAACATAAAAATATATATCATCTTATAATATTTTTAACAGAAAATATACATATAACATTATAAATATCGATAATTACAAAGTGTTTACAACAAAATTACTACAAGTAGAAGTTAATAGTCAGAATACAAATTACATGCTAACACACACATATATTTATATATATATGAAGAATAACAAAATGAATTCACAATTAGTAACATTCATTAGATATTTAAAATACGTAAAATCAGATCTTTAATAAAGAATACAAAAAATATACGAAAATTTTCAAGAAATACGATGACTTCTAATTCCCACTCCATTCATCTCTATATATAACCCATACATGTTTTTCTTAAAATTATTTCATCAAACTCATCTCGTTGACATGGATTTTTTATGTTAAAAAAGTTCTTTAAGGTCATAAATACTTTTTTAAAAATTTAGGTAAGGGGTGGTTCTCTCATTTCAGAGTTACGGTATACCTACATATGAATTTACAGATTACCCATAAAAATGAAAATGATACGATTCAAACTTAATCTTACAAGTTCAAATTCATGAATTTAATTTCAATAGTTTTAAAATTATCAATGGCTTAAAATGATATTAAACCATTAAAGCTTGAGATATGACCCACCTCACCTACGATGTGCATTCGTTTTTAGTTATAATAATAAGGTAAAGGATAACTTTTGTCCTCGTAATAAACTCAATTTATTACTTTTTGTCATTGTTATATTTTCGCATCAATTAAGTCCCTGAAGTTACTCAATTGCATCATTTTATATTATATTCCTAACTTAAAATCCTAAACTCTAACTTAGAATTTATAATTTAGAGTTTTAAGTTAGGGATATAGTATAAAATGATGTAATTAAATAATTTTGAGGGTTAAACTGATGTAAAAATACGATAGAGGTGAAAATAATAAATTATGTCTACTACATGTTAAAAGGTGTTCCACCCTTAAACCTAATAATAATAATAATAATAATATCAATCGAATTAAAATTTAACCGATTTTCAAATATAAACGTTTTTAGTTTTCAATTTGTTAGAGTTGTTATCTTATTTCAAATTTTTAATAGAAGTTATAATTGTCATGTAATTATATTTTTATTCTATAATGTCCAAACACATGTATTTAGATTTTTGTGGGAATATAATTGATGTATTGAATAGAGAGAGAATCAAGTTGGTTTGATTTGAATTATAAATGGTTCAATAATTGAAAATAGAAGGGAATATCCCTTCCACTTATAAAATGCTAATTTAATCAGAGTTATTAGTCAGCAATGCACTAATTTTATGATTAATCGTTTAGAATATAGGCCCTGACGATGATGTTTTGTTCCACACATGTCATAAGTTTTGCCGTGTCGGATTTCCACATTTCTCACCATTTATATATTCCTAAGATTCATTCATCCAATATATTTTTCATACGTTTTAAGAGATTTTTACCAAAAATAAAATAAACTTGAAAATTGTTCATTAGACTCAAATAATTCAACCACTTAAAAAAAGTGAAATTCAAAAACTTTATATTATATAAATGAAACTTAATTCATATCACAACAATCAACCCCATGTTTAAATTTCTAATCTTAAAAAAATATTATTCTTTTAACCATTAAGATTATTTGATTTGATTCAGGTATTGATTGAAAATTTAATGATATATAATTCGTTTGACATCCAAATAAAATATTAATGACCTAATTATCGTATCTCTTTATTTACTAATTATAATAAAATAATTAAACAAAGACAAAAGGATAGCTTTTGCTTCGGTAGTAAATAGAAATAACAATTTTAGCCGCATTCGACTGGTTCTGACCCGATTCGACCCAATAGGGTCGGCTCGGGCTCAGGTGGATGGTGAAAAAATTATGATTTGACCCGATTTGAAGATAATAATGTAATTTTTTTTAAAATTTATTACTTTTTAATTAAATACTTAATTTATATATGGTCGGGTCGGAGTCGGGTGGGGATATATATTTTCGGGTCGGGTTGACAAAAATCTGACATGTTGCCATCCATAGCAGTAGACCCAATTTATCATTTGTCCCTATAGTATTTTCGCATCAATTTAACCCTCAAAGTTACTCAATTGCATCAATGTTTAAAATATTTATTATGATTTAGGGTTTTTAAGTTAAGTTTTAAGTTAGAGGAATAATATAAGATGATGCAATTAAACAACTTTGAGACTTAAATTGATACGAAAATACGATATGGACGAAAATGATAAATTATGTCTACTTCAAGGAAAAAAATAACCCTTAAACCTTAAATAAATAACATACTCAAATTAAATATATAATTTTTAATCTAAATATCAATACTCATATGAATCATTGATTTAAATTACAATGTATTAAAATCAGATGTACGACATGGGTCGATCCAGATTAATTAATACAGAACCTTAAAATCGGGAGGATAACTAATATATATATACACACACAAAAACAATATCTCCGTTTAAATTTTAATATTTACGTCTCTTTTCTTTACATATGAACCTCGATATTAAAATAATAAAATGATGATATTATATAAAAGATTGATGTTAATGGAAACCAACCACAGACAATCACCGCACCGCATATTGTACTAACGGAGCATCTTGTCGCTTGTTTTCAGCCATACCCCATAATGCGTTTCCATTGCGTGGCATATCATTATTTTATATGATATTCTTTTTACAAGTTTTCTTATTTCCAAAGTAAAAATATTTATATTTTAGTAATAAAAATATTTGATACCGAATTCAATGATAAAACAAGAAACAATGCACAAAGCATCGAGCCGAGGCAATTACCATAAGCAAATATCTATTAGAAGCAAATAATAAATCCATTTTCAGCACTCTTTATATACAGAAAGATCATCCTCTATGTTCATCTTTTATATGTTGGTAATGAATTTAGAAACAAAATAGACCCCCCTCCCTCCTCCAAAGAATAAACAAACGAACAAATGTATGCTTCTTTTTTTATAAACAATCAAAATCCTTCCAGACTGGTCCCTGTAAGGCTTTCCGATGATGATCTCCGAGCATATCGCAGTTCAAGTTCCTGTAACGAGAGGGTAGAGGAGCAAGCTCTCGGTGGAAGGGTCAATGAGGAAGTAGGTGGTGTCGTCGGAGATGGTGAGAAAATTGATCCAGGTGCCGGAGTAATGCTCCCATTAAGACTAGGTGATCCTGATATCTGTTTCCCGGCATTTGCCAATGGCTCTTGCAGAGGAAACAGGCACGAATATTTCATGTCTTGGATGATTTTGAGATTCTCCACTATGGTTCTCATGGTCGGCCTTTCGGATGGATCCTTCTGGAGACATCTTTGCGCAATGTCCGCAACAGAACGGGCACCTTTCATGGGAAATCGACCTTTGAGATTAGAATCCATGATGAGTGACAATCTACAATCGTCAGCAAGGTATGGTCGACTCCACTTCACTAGGTTCCTCTCTTCCCAGGGATGACGATTGTCAAGATTTTTCCGGCCAGTAAGCAATTCAAGTAGGACAATTCCGAAACTCCAAACATTGCTCTTCGGAGTTAGCCATCCTCTCTCCAAAGTCTCCACTGAAAGATTTGCCCCAGCCTGCAAAGATAGAGACAGAATCAAACACCAAATAAGTAAAAACAAATAACTTGTAAGCAGCGAGGTCGAATGAAATTCTAGTAACCTCTTCACACCAAGATTTGTTTTCTTAAACGAACAATTGCGAGGCAGTCAACTTACAACTGAGTTAGCAGAGATCTCCTCTGTCTCAGGCATATGACCAACGCATCCGTATCCTGAAAGCTTTGCACTGAAATCTTTGTCAATCTGTATGTTGGCAGTCGAAAATTCATTGTACATTGCCTGCATATGACGGAACCCTTTTGTAACTACACAATGGGGATTTTTTCAATCAAACAAAATAGAGCTTGTTTCAAACAAGTGACTCACTCTCATCAGTTCTATAATGTCAAAATGTTAGATGCATGTTGAGATTTGTATATATATACCTGAAATGGTCCTTCCTCGTGTAAGAACGTAAGACCCTGTGCAGAACATAAAGCAATTTTCATTCGGGTATTCCAATCAATTGGAGGTCCATCAGACCTCCCATATAGATGCTGGTCTAGACTTCCATGAAACAGCCTCTCATAGACCAACATTCTTTGTTCCAAATTATCACGCGCATGGTATCCAAGCAATTTACAAAGGTTTTTATGTTGCAATGATGCAAGTGCGTTCACTTGATGGATAAACTCCCTTAAACCCTACAGGAACACAGAAAGAACAGATTGAGACAAAATTTCAAGAATATGGCCATGCATACATAAAAAGGTGAAATAAAACAAAAATGTATATACAACAAGAAGGCAGAACCGTTAAATGGACGATAATAGCAAAAACATTCAAATTGCAGAAAAATAAAATATAAAAGATGCAATAGGGAAGTACATAGTACAATCATCCCATAGCCATAAATTTTCATTAGCAGAAATTTTATCCTACCTGAGAGGAAGGGTGAAGGTTAGTAACAGTAGCTTCAAACTTCTTGGAACTCGATGCATCATCTCCAAAGGAAGCCTTATACAGAACAGATGAAAGACCCTCAGATGTGCATCTATCAGAAGAGAAATGATCGCAAGCTGTAGCAATTTCTTCGTGAGAAAAGTTACGTAGTGATTCACAGGGAGGCAAGGGCAATGGTCCGGAAGCAAACAGAGGGCCACTAGCAATTCCTGATTTAAAGTTTCCCATTTTCTTGAGCCCGGTATGAGGGGGAGAAGGAAGTGGAAGAGGTTGGGGACTTGGTGACCTCGGTTCCTTCACTAATTCAACATGACTCTTTAACTCTTCCAGTCCTTCAAATTCAGCTGATGCAAGTCCTTCTTCCTTGGCAGCATCAAAACATGATGGAGCATATAATGTGTGTGTCCTGTCTCTGGTTGTCTCGTTATTAACTTGATATGGTTTTACTCTGGTTCTAAATCCTAGGGGTGCCAACTGCAGTGAACGGGTATGAACTCGGGGCTCGGGAAGTGCAGTAGGCGTATGCTCCCTGTGAGCAACGGGCTTTAGAAAAACCGAATGCTCTGTCTTTTTCTTCCTACTTCTCAACACTGTAAAACACCCCATCATATATTTGAATAGCCTAAACAGTATTTTGGTCTTCTATGCTTCTTCCAGAAGAAAAAAAAAATAAAAGTACACAAATTAATAGTTGTTTTGAATGGCGCGAACATAATGCCAGCAAACTCAATGTCCTATTATATAAGAGGAGCAAGCAATTTCCGCCCATCAAAATAATCAATCATACAAAATGTCCAAGGCCTAAACTACAACATATGAGCCATCAAACAATTAAGACAAAATCCAGCACTTCAATCCTTGAACAATTTACATAAAGTGATTATCGATATCGTACGAAGTGATTATGTTCGAGTTTCGACAAACAGAGATTGCATTGATCAAACGAAACCCCAAAATTTTCCAATTCAATAAACTTCATGAAATCCACAACAGAGACATAAACCAAACCTGCTCAAACAAAGGTGTTCCTTTCCCAGTCCAATAACCAATTACAGCAAACGACTATAAAACAATTCAGTGCACAAGCCATAATCATAAGACAAATCAACCCCAGATACAAGATAATTCAAACAAGAGGGACATGAATTAATCTTCACATCTACCAATCAGCTATTCGAATTTCCGTGCATGCATGGTTAGCGTAAGGCAAAGCAGTCCCATTAAATCAATGATAAGAACAAATCAACTAAAAGACAGATTTCAAACAAAAACACACCATGAAATCATCAATGAATTTCAGCAGAAAAAAATACAAAAAGGGGTGAAAAAACAAACCATGTAACGCGGGTCACGCAATGAAAACCTGATTGAGAGCTTGCAAAGGTATGGAGAGAGAAGAAAACCCAGAAATCCTGTTTGGAAGTCAAAAGAAAGATTATGGGAAATGCCGTTCAAAAGTTGAGAGATTTCTGAGGAATAGAGGAGAGAAAACATTGAATTACTAAATATTAATATACATATTACTATTTATTAGAAAAACAAAAATACCGATTTTAATTTATTCTCTGTTTACAACAAAGATACGCTTTCAACTTTTTTAATTTGACATTTGTGTCCTCGTTATCTCCTACCAAAATAATTTTAGGCTCTGTTGGTTCAAAAAATATTTTTTTATTTGTTAAAGATAGTAAAATATATTTAATATTTATAAAATTAAATTAAGTTAAAATATTTTATATTTAAAATTTATTGTAAATGAATATTTCTAATGCATATATAAATTTGAATTTGGTAAAAATAATATTTTTTTCATAGGACTTATATGGATTTTTCTCAAAAAGACATATAATCAATATAAAAAATATGTGTTTATATTAGGGCCGTAAATGAGACGAGACATATCGCGAGCTATTCGCGATCGACTCGATAAATACTCGGATCGAATGGACTCGACTCGAGCTCGACTCGAGTTCTTAACGAGCTACTCGATATTCGACTCAAAAAGCTCTTGAACAGCTCAAAAATATAATATTTTAAGATTTTATTTTAAAAAAAAATAAATTAATAATAATATTAATATTTGATTTTTTTTAAAAATACAGTAAGATTTCATGTATTTAAGGTTTATGTTCGAGTTTGAGTTTGAGGCTTCAATCGAGTTAAGTTTAAGAATTTTTTTTCATTTCGAGCCTTTTCGAGCTGCTCACGAACTTCAGTTCATGATTTCGAGTTCGAGTAAAATTTTTAAGCTCGCGAGTTTTCGAGTCGAGTCGAGCTCAGCAATACTCGAACTCAACTCGGCTCGTTTACACCCCTAATTTACATGTGCACAAATTAAAAAATATATATTATTTTTTAATATGTGTTTTAGTTTCTTATGAAGGCAGGTTTCCCGTGTGGTCAAACGTACATATCAAGATAAGTATTTAACTATCAGCTTTGACCATAGTCTGAAAGGTCATCGGTTGGGATCTGTTCTTTGTTTTTTGGTGGGACCCAGAACAATAAACTATTCTATCCTTTTGCTTAATCTAGCGTGCAAGTAGGAGACGATGAGGAGGTAAACTTTTAATTTTAAATATTTTTGGATGTGATTTCGGTGGTTAAGGTTTTGTTCGATTAATTCATATTAATTTGGGTTGAATATTTGATTTTGGTGAGTAAATTTTTTATTATTTAAACTAATCTTGTCGCCTGTACGGGATGCAAATTTGGCATTTTGTGATGCATGTAACTTTAAAAAGATTTATATTTAAGCTTAGTATATATATAAACACGAATTTGAGATCCCTGATATTGACATGCTTCACATACAGTGGTGCGAATGGTACTTTTTTAGTTTTTGGAAGTTATATATGATTGATTTTTTATCTTGTGAATAAAGTCAACATACTCATGACTCGGTGCTGTTTTTCTCTTGGTAAATTGTTTGTGAATTATCCATGTGAGTTATTAAGCTAAATAAATTAATATGAATGTTTGGTTTGTCGATGTTCATGAATAAGTTCGTTTATAAATTTTCTTCTCGACTCGTTTATCTGGTTGTCTTTTTCTTTTTATTTTTTTTTCATATTTTAAATATTAGTGAAGTTAGGGACTAAATTAAACACAATGTGAACTTTGAAGCTTAAACTGTGAAACTTTTAGAGCTTAAGGATTAGTGGTGTAATTTCATTATTTTAATGAAAGAGTACAAGTTAAAAAATGAATATGTTTACAAATGCCAAACGAATATGTTCACGAATGTTAAACGTAAATGTTCGTGAATGTTAAATGAATTGAACATTTAAATCTTAAAATAAACAAAAGAACACAAATACAATATTAAAAATTTAAATGAAAAACAAAATACATAACAAATTAATATAAATAAAAATGAATTAAAATTAAACTTATTTGAAAATTTTAATAAAGTGTTGATCAAACAAAAAATACAATGAAAAATAATATAATAAATAAATAAATAATAATAATTTCAATTTTGAATTATAGTAGAAATTTTCCAATTAACTCTCTATTATTATTTTTTATCAAAAGGTGTCATTTCTAAGTCTTTGTGCAAGTATCAGGCTGACAATGGGCCTCGGATTGTATTTTTTTTCTTTCTTATTATAGGCATACAAACCCCAACCCATGCCTAATTTAAACAAGGCCCAAAAGAAATTACAAAGTGTACAAACCAAGACCAAACAAACTAAAAATTCAATGACTTTATTACAAGTTTCAAAAATTAGATGACCAAAATACAAATACTCTAAAAATTTACGGACTATTAGTATATTTTACCAAAAAAACACTTTGACTAACTAACAAAGCACTTGATGGTCTACCGATTGTAGGATGTTTTATTGAGTCTTTCGATTATTAAAAGTTACAAAATTATCTCTCGATTGTAAGACGTTGCTTTGTTGCGTCTATCGACTATTAAAAATTATAAAATAATAATTAGACTATTAGTATATTCTAAAATCATTCTTTTTTCATTGAAAATGACTACAATATGAACATTAATCTACTGACAGTGATACGATAAAATTTAATCCCGAAATCTCAAACGATTATTATATGTCAGTCAACATATTAGCATCAAACGCAGACGACCTTCAAGTTTTAATAGAAAAGGACGAGTTTAAAATATATGAATAGTCGAATGACCATTTTATAACTTTTAATAGTATAAGACTCAACAAAATAATATTTTATAATCAAATAATTTTATAACTTTTAATAGCTAAAAGTATCAACAACTCATTTATATATTTTATCCTAAATTTTATAAAATATGCTTTTTATAGAATATTTTTTCATCTAGAATAAACGTTAATTAATATTTTTATAACAACTTCAATAATCATTTTGCTTCTTATTGTCCATCTTACACGTGCTCCACATGCTTCTGATTATATTTATGCTTTACACTTGGATATTGTAAAATTTCTCCATTTATTCCCCGTCTAAAATCTCTTCAGCAGGTCTTGAATCTCACAATCAAAAGCTTTTATTTGTAAAATAAATAAAATAAAACTCGAGGCCCAACTTATTCAGTCTTCATTGGCGACCGAGTTTGTGAGTGATAGTGTTAGAGAAAAGAAATATAAGATCTCTTTCCTTACCGATTGAAAGATTCGATGAAGTGTTCGGATTACGGTGACGTTGGGTGGTTCGCTGCCCGCGACGTCACGAGAAGTCCACTGAACTTATCATTTAGAGGAAGGAGAAGTCATAACAAGATTTCCCTAGGTGACTTACGGAAGGATCATTGTCTTGCAGTAAATATACAAGTGGACATTCATAACAAAATCGGTCTTGTTTTCCTTTGTATCTTTCTTGCACATTGTTTAAATCAACTAAATGATAAAAGTGTAAAGAAACAATATTATAATACCATTAGAACATGTAGAAGAAACACACTTATGACTTACCTCTGCAGTGCTCCTTCCCTCTCTCGCATTAACTACATCTCTTCCCTCTCTAGCATTTATCGACATTGGCATCAACAACTTGCTAAAAAATAAATCTTAACAAAAGTCAAATGCGAAGTGCATTATGAGAGGACCGTTCAGAAGTATTTAACTAATGATAATTAATCATTGTCATACTAGATCTCACTAAAACATCAACTAATTGAATGAGGAATATTTTGGCTTCAATTAAAGTGTCTTGTCAGATTACTAACAGCATACAAGATTGGAAAAGTCAAGTTATTGTTGCAGGATTCGGATGAAAAGATTGTGAATATGGTTAACTTAATATAGAAGGCTAACACAACTTCAGTAAAAGAAAAAAAATTGGGAGGGAGAAGAACATTAAGAATAATATATTGCAGATGGAAAAAGTGCAAAGATAAGTAACGTTCCTTCTCGTTACTTTGAACAAGCACAATTGTTTGGAACTAGAAGAGAAAGAAAATCAAAAGCTTCTTATGCAAACACGAAATTATATCCTCGTACAAAATATTTACAATATCAAGCAATTCCTCATCACTTACTGTTATGTAAAGAAACCAAAGGAAAAGAAAAGGTAAAACTTGATCGGATAATTTTTCCAGCTTAGCCAAAAAAACAAAAAGCTTCTAGAGTATCTATGCACTTGATAAAATTTGAAGCAGCAGAAAAC